GATAATACAAGTCTGAGAACAAAAACTACAGCTCTACACCGAAGCGAAGCGAGGGCGGGCCACTAGTTTACTAAATAAAAATGAAGGTGTATGTATATCACGTTGTTTTACAGGGATAGTTTTTAAATAAAGTCATTAATAATTGTCTCAATGAAAATGGATTTGCTTTAATTAAACGTAATCTCTCTGCTTACTTATTTACTTTTAAGTCATATTTCTGTCTTTGCCATCTTTAAAAAAAAACATGCCAATTAGGAACCAATAGGTATTACTATATGAACTGAGATAAAGTTTAATGGTAACCAAAGCATATCACGTCTCTACATCTAGCATGTTTAACGGTTCCCCTAATTGGAATTCAGTTACAGTATTGATGGCGGGCCTCGAAGGGCGGAGGGCGCGCTATTTCGGCGCCCGCGCAAGTAAGCTGAAACTAATCCGGCGCGCGGGTGGCCGCACCGCAACCCGACACCGCGCGCGCGGCTTACGCTTACATTTGTCATTTATAATGCGAGCGATTTGTTGCTCCTCACCTCCAGCCACTACAAACTTTTTATGCTCTCTTATTCTTTATTCAAATATTCAAGCCGTGCGATGTGCGCCATATTTTTTATGACACTTTACGACTTCAGCTTTTTCTCGTTTAAACGGTGATATTTTTACTGAATGCCGTGTGTTACGGACTACAGAGGTCTACACAGCGTTATGTCATCGTGATGTTTACATAAATTTTCGTTATTTTATGAACGAGTAATACTTATTAGGAGAAGCAGCCTTAGTAACGAGTTAAATTAAGGCAAGTTATTGCCACTGAAGAACTTTATTGATTTCTTTAATACCAAGAGTAGGTACTTAATATTCTTGAATTTACAAAGCAAAGTTTAATGAATCTACATTGCTTATTGGAAAAATTATGGCCACTTTTTATTTTATCATCATTTCATATTTATTTTAAACATGAAACTGCTCGTGTTGATTTTTTCTAGTTAGGTATTAGGAAGTTAGTTTTATTATTTGATGTAAGTTGTTTGCTATTACTGAATATAATGCAATGCAGTTATTGAATATCTACACAGTTATGCTAAGAAGTGTACATAGACATGCATGTTCAGGAGGCATGATTCTGTCACTCAAATCTAACAAGTGACGATTATTCTTTTAAGAGTGAAGCATATGAACATAATTAATTGTGAGAAATTGATTTGCAAGCACCGTTCGCGAGCTCATTTCACGCTCGGCGCGCCTGACGTGTTGCTGATTCGATCGCATTAACTTTTAAGGCAAAAACACATAACATTCAACTCTCTAATGTTCTTGGCACAATATGGCTATCAGGACATCCTGTGTGGCCCGGCCATGTGTGTGTTCGTTCAAATATTGGGTTGGCATTTCAAAGGCTCATTGACGTTTTGACGTTCGATGTTCGTATTGAAAAAAGGGCGCCGCGTTTGACGTTCTCTCCGCCAATTTTTGCACAATAGCTACAAGTTTTCAATGCTTTATGTTTGCTTCCGAAACAAACTCTTGTAGCTCTACGTTTCCTTTATTTTTTACTGCATGTCAATAGTGTTGATTTTGTGAATGAATAATGGGTTGTAACACAATATACAGTGTTGTGACTGGCTTTATGGGATATAGTTGACTTATATTTTTGTTCGTTAAATACATAAAATTGTACAAAATCGCAGTAGGTAATGTAATTAAGAGGGAATATTTTTGAACTACAAGTTTTTCAAGTAACAATAAGCATTAAGTACGTCAAACGTTACAAGTAATAATTTAAAGGGAAGGGGGCCGAGAATAGCAAAGATGATGGTAGTATCTTTGTAATGCCGTAAAGGAGAACTCTGCAAACGCCATTTGGGCAAATTGAAAAACATCCGAGTAGCTCATAATGCCTTTTAATGCCTCACCCCGAGAGTTATTGCTCCTTAAGTGCGCTGTATTTTTCATATTTTCACGAATAATGTGAGTGTTCGTTGCGAGCGCAATACGGAGCGTTTGCTGAGGGTTTTTGCAAGATACTCATTGTAAGTGAGCGAGCGATCGAAAGTTTGGCGGCGGCAGCGTTATTAGGAGGGTCCTCGGGAAGGCAATATATAACACTTTATACGTAACACATGAAGACTCGCGGCGCCTGAATGGGCACCTCATGTTGTTCTCTCATTTCGCATAAAGGGGTATGAATTATTAAAAGCCTTTTACAAGTGACATAGGTATATATATATATATATATATATAGGTAAAGTGTTGTGAAATATGAAACAACACAGATAGGTGAGCCCTTACAATAATTTGTTGTTTCAATACAAAATAAAAATATGACAGAAATTTTTGAAACTACCTTTCAATCATTTGTCTTATACTTATTTATTATGACAGAAATATTTTTCTATCCCGCCTATACTACTTATACCATAATATTTTCTTTTTCGCTCTCATGGCTTCGAGTAATATTTACCTAAAACTTTATTGCTCTCTCTATTAAGAAAAATAGAGTCAATCTAAAACTTTCGGTTTTCAAGAAAATTACATGATGTAGGTTATAATTAAGTCAATCAAAATACCTATTTCTATTTATAGATACCGACCTTTATTATGTATTTTTGATTTGCAAATTAAGACAAAATCGAGAAATACTCAGTGCTTATCACGTACATTATATATAGTTTACCTTGATATGAACTTGAGTATAATTGGCATTTCACATCCATTTTAAATTATTTGTCGTTCGATGATGGTCGTTCACGTCACCTATAGGTAAAGCATTTATCTGTATAGAAAACCTTTTTTTTTTAATACGCAGGTAAAAAATCTATTTACTGACGACGGCGCCTTTAAGAGGCACACCGCCGAACGGACCTCACACCTGGCTCCCGCAAGTCTTACGAACCCCCCAGTGGCTGCCCACCGAGGACCCCGCAACTCTTACGGGCGCTTTACGGTATAATATCCGCTAAAAAAGTCCTGCGAATACCCTCTAAGCTGCTTAGCGCGAAGCCGCGGGATCCCCGTTTAGGGATTCTCCGCGTCTCCGCACCTAGCAGCCTCCCGGCCAAGCCGGGGCTCCACGGCAAGGGTCTCCCGGGGTATCGCGGCTGAGTACGCGGCCAAGTGCCCACCGTACCGCCCCCCCGTCCGCTGCGGAGGGCTACTTGGGCGTGCCCGTGTAGCTCCCTCCGCCGCCCCCCCCTTTGCAGGACAGAACTACAAGGGGGGGCTATCTGTATAGAAAACCTAGCCTTTTCGGCCTGAACCCAATTCACTACTTCTTACCTTACTTACCCTTCAAGTACTGGAAACTTACTCACTAACAAAAACACATCACCACTATAAGATAGTGTAATTTTGCCGTGATCTTAATGTAACGTGGACTGTAGCTGTCAACTCAGTATTATGCAAAGTCTTAGAACTGTTTAAAAGACTCTTCTTTGAAAACCATCTGACCCAATACCACCGAGACCACTCTCTGATCCACGATCGTCAATACGGATTTAGACTGGGACGGGTGACCTTCTAGTGTTCGTAAAACACATCTGGGGTGAGGCTATAGACAAGCATGGTGAGTCTTTGGCTATCAGCGTTGACACCGCTAAGGCTTTTGACAGGGTCTAGCACAGAAGTCTGCTCTCCAAGCTTCCTGCATACAGTCTGGCTGCTCAGTTCTGTGCCTGGGTGGCTGACTTCCTGCATGAGCGTAGAATTCGCATCCTTAAGTACGGATGTAGTTCGCAGTTTATGGCAGTGAATATTCCTCAGGGCTCTGTGCTATGCCCCACACTCTTTCTGCTGTACATATCAATGATTTATTCTTATAAGGAGTATTTATTGCTATGCAGAAGTAATGAAACAATACGGAATAAATTAACTAAAAGTCATAAAGGGCGCACTCAGAATTGTCAATTAACTTTTGGGTTGATTATATTTGACGTTAAAGACATCACGCACGATAATGATGTATTAAATTTCATTGACAATTCAGAGTACGCCGTTAAATGTGATTAAAAAAGTAAGTAGATAGGAAAATCTGTCCACTCTCATGTTTCTCTATTTTGTGTTAGAAAGGTAACTTTTGCATCGTAATAAGGTTATTGTGTTGACCTAGACATGTTTAAAACATGAGGAAGAAAAAAAAAATACGGCCATACAGTTTTTTTATATAATTATTATATCGATACCTTGAGTTCTGTACTTCTTTAAGTATGATTATGATTACACTAGTCAACAGAATAATTTAAACTATCTACATAAATACTAAAACGCCACAAGAAACCAATTTTCTATTTAACAAATAGTTCTTTCAGTGACAGTTGACACAATGTAGGACTTGTAACCTTAAAAACCTAAAGATAATTGAATTAGGTATCCAATTGCCCGTTATTACAAAAAGACGAGATAAAGTGATTAGCAAACGGAACCTATAAACATTTTTTATTATCTTTCATAATAAGCAAAACGCGTCTTGAATACATGCAATAGTCTGTATCTTCGCTTTGTCTCTTTCGCACTCATACGAAACGTACTCGCAGCTGCTATGCTCTTTCCCGTTCTAATCTACCGATCACTTTTTATGGGCGGCGCATTCGCTATCATTGCGCGTGCGATTTCATCTGAATTCCATTTTCACAAAAAAAATGAAATAAACTGATTTTGTCGTTGCAGGGCAAAATGAATTTTTTTCTAACAATGAGCAGGTCTTCCAAGTAAAAATTTTGTAGTAAAAATAAACGGTATACCTACATCAAAATGGAGTATTCCAGTGAGAAAATATACAAAAGAATATTGATACTGCTATCGCGGATTAACCGTTTCGAATTTAAATGAAATACATAATGGGTTTCAATGATATTGTTTTTATTGTTATGAAAAGCTGTGTTGGGAGGGGAGCCATGGAGGCGACAGCGGGGCGCGCGGTAACTGGCTGCGCCGGGGCTGGGGCGGCGCCGCGGGCCCGACCCGCCCGCGTCGCGCCCGCGCGCGCTCAGTCTGCGTCCGCACCTACCGCTCACGCTTGTGTGCACGCACGCACCTTGTCACTGGCCCGACGATACGCGTTCATTAATATACCGTAAACGATATAAAAAAAAGTGACGTTAAACGACTCCAAATAAAAGTGTAAATAATAATAACCATTTTCCGAGAAAATGGAAAATTCACTTATTTGAAAAGCTTATTTAAACTAACTTACCTAAGTTAATATCCGTTTATTGCGAAGTTTTTCAAATCGGTTTATTAGTGTTTTAATAATAATAACATTTATAGTTAAAAAAATATGAATGGAGAACGATGTTTCGGACGATCTCGGTGAGATGGGTGATGGTCTGAGGCGGACCGTGTCGGCGTATTGAGGGTCGTTTTTATGGATGTGGAGAGTGCGGAGTGCTGGAGGTCGGCAGGCGACAGGATGGTGGCGGAGGAGGGCAAGACCAGGGCAACGGACTTCTCCATCGCGGCCATCATGGCCCGCAGCGCCGTCGAGCCGCGCAGCCCGCTCGCGAGATCGCCTCCTCACACCGGTACGGTACCGTAGGCCTAATTATTTTTCATAATAGTTCCATGTTTCCTTGTCCAAATTTAGCTGTAGACAGTTGAAACACCTTTAATATTCAAGGGCTCTAATGTCTCTATCATCAACTTTGCTTTTATAAAAAGATTATATTATAATGCTTTTTCAAAAAGTGGTTAAATGAAACCTTATTGGTAGAGTTAATGTGTGTGCACTTACGATGTTTTTTGTTTATAAAACTCACCTATACTCTTGATTTCTTCGATAAACAGCGGTGTTTTTTTTATTAATTTACATATAATAGGTAATATCTTCTTTGTAATTCTATTCCGCATTCCGAATCCCGTACCATAATATACACTGTGAAACTCAAAAAAATAATTACTTATATTAAAAAAAAGATAAGCGATAAAGAAGTTAACAGTTTTAAATCCTTCACGACATCATCTAGGTATATAATAAAAGTAAGAGAACTCTCACTGATTCCTTTGCTTGGCCATATTACCTATTGATTTATTTGTGTATCGATAACCTCATATTTTAGTTAAATTTTTTTCTCTTGAATATTCTTTTAGTTTTATGGATATTTTTCTTCAGGTGTGTTTTAATAGTGATTTGTTTATAACTACGCTCTATAATCAATAAAGATAGTAGATTATATTATTAGCATAATATGCAATTTATATTAATCTCAAGTTATCAACCAACTAAGTATGTAAACATTAATCAAGAAAAGGATTTCATTTGCGATTGACAAAATACTTAAGTAACTTTAGGTACTATACAAAATAGTTTACCTAGGTATACTCTCTATTTTGTGTAGGTATAGATAGTATATTACATTCAGTAATAAAAATATCGACTTTACAAAAGGCATGGCTCGTTCGGCTACGTTTTTTTTTGCATTTTTATGTAAAAGATTCAAAATATAAAAGTAGTTTTATAGAGCCCGAAATGTAATACAAATCGCCATGTGTTTTGTTTTGCATTTTTTATTTCAGGTTATTATCATCCATAGGTAAGAAAACATTTTTGATTACTTTGATACTTATATACTATATAAACTTAGTAAGGATTCGAATTAACGTTTAATTTTTATCGTACATAACTAATCTTAGATAAAGTAGTCTTAGTTACATATTGTTGCGACCGTCTAATTAGTATAAGTATGTAATTTGTTTCGTAGTCATAACATAATACTTAATACAATCTAAAACCATTTTGAATCAGAAAAAAATTTGTTGTAGTAATTTTTTCTTCAGATATAAACATCTACGACAAGTTTCAATAATCAAACTCCAGGTAGGCCTACTCGAGCTTTGTTGCTATGATATTTTTATGATAATAACTATAATTACAACCGTTGCTAAGCAACAGAACCAGATTATTCTTACCTTTTACTGAAGTTTGATCATTGAAAATGTCCACTAGCAGCTAAATGCTTAAAATAAATATAATAATTTCGAATTAATACTCTAGGATTATTGTGATTTCAATATTTAGTGACCTATTGCAGAACAAAGGGATAGAATTTGCGGAGATGCATAAAAGCTTTGCAGTCAAAATTAGGTTACGCATCTCATTCAGAAATAAACAGAAAAAGTAAATATAGAAAATTATGATCGCTAACAACAACTGTTAAGGCTACATAATAAGTACAGCTGGTGCAATAGAAATTGAATTACCTAGATAAAATATGAAAATTATAAAAAACAAATATTGCGGATAACAAATATTTGCGGTCATCCCACAAAATTTTACTTTATTGATAGAAAATTATTAAATTGGTAAAATGGCATAATGGCAGTTCATTTGAACTAATTTTCAAAGGAGAAATTCAAAAGTGGTAGTCGATTTCCGGGAGTGATAAAACATAGGTATATCATTTGAAAGCTTGTTTTATGTAATAGCACAAACACATAATATTTTTTTTAATTATACCCGATTAATTTTTAATCGTACTTATTTAAAAAAAAAAACAATTTTGTAAGATTTTTTGGCCATCCAGTCACGTCATATTTTATAAACCGTGGCAGCTTATACCGTCAACTCAATCGCCATGTCAAATGTCAAGCAGTCTAATCATGCATGAAATTCGAGAAACCGTGGTGAAATTATTATACCAATTTATTATTGATTCTACTTGAAATAAATTACCCACAAAATACCTAATAATAGAATGAGAGATGAACAGAATTATTATCATAGCTTTAGTTATCTATTGAATAGCATATATTTGATGCTTTGGCTACAAACAGTGCATCAATAAACTTGTCATTTGCCAATCAATAATTATGTATTAAAAAAATCCTTTAATTTTTACAAATGGACAAAATAAAACTTCACAGATTACCTGTAAGGCCGACGATAACAAAGTATTTTTAAACTTTTTGTGAAGAGTAAACCAGAGAAATGGGAAGAAAGATACTAAGAAAATTCGAAATTGATGACTCTGTCAATAATTGGCAACATCTTTTATCAACTGTAGTAAGATAATAACATAGTAGGAGTTCATAATTTTCAAGATTGCGTCTTTATCAAAAGTCCTTGAGCCTTTTTTCATAGAAATTATAAATATTCAGCCATTTATAATTAAATATTACTAAGAACAGTATTTATACATTGCCAGGGCATTCGCTCATACAAAACTTTACCATGTCCTTTCAACCGTCGCCTTTAATTATTTCGAAATCATATTGTTACAAAACATTCCGCTAAGCGAATGTGCCAGGAAAAAAGGACTGTTCCAACGCGTCATAAAGAACTTTGAAAGCCTATTAAGTTGGCGTTGGTTATTTCAAAAACTATTGATGCAGATTATCTTAAACAAGTCATGCCAAATTATCCCAGTCCCCACTGATATGTTGTATGACTGTAGTTCAGTTGTGAAGATAGGTTGTGTAGATCTACTGTGTCAGAAAAATATGCTGCTTTAGCCATCCTTACCTTGACGGCCGAAATCTGATCCCGTTGCCTAACAGAATGCACATATAATTCTTTGTCACTGTCACCCTATTGGAATACGCTATGAAGCTATCTGCTATCTATACATATAATAAAATGGAAGGAAAGTCAAAACTGTACATTGAATATTTTTTTTTTAAATACTTGGGGTGTGATTTACAATCGATACCGAAGCCAAAAATATAGTTTTTAGATTTTTTGTCTGTTTGTCTGTATGTATGTCCGGGATAAACTCAAAAATTACTGCATGGATCTATTTCAAATTTGTCACGAATATTATTTAGAAGTCGGGTCATCATATAGGCTACACATTATCAGGCTATCACCTACGGGGAAGGAGCAGTGAACCTTTATTTCTAACTAACTCCACGCGTACGAAGTCGCGGGCGGCATATATATATATATATAAAAGTCGTGTTAGTTATATCACTTACAACTCAACAACGACTGGACAAAAATGAGCTTTGATTTTTTTGATTCGTCTCCACCTCGAAATATTTTTTTCTATTAAATTAGTTTTTGCATTCCGCCTTCTTCCACAATTGACGAGTTCACGTTAAGTATGTGTAAAGCATTTTCTTTTCTTTTGCATGAAAAAATAAATAAACTTATTTTATATTCAGTATGTTTGGGTTCCGTAACTCAAAAGGGAAAAAAACCCTTATAGAATCACTTGGTTGTCGTATCATCTGTCACAGTCGATTTGATCGGAATCGATTGGACCGATCAATTTGAAATTTGGTACATACATGTATGTCTGTAACCCAAATACGGGGAAATAAAGTAAATAAATAAATTACGAATATGGGGGTGATTTTTGGGGGGTAAATTAGAAAGTTAAATTTTCCTTAATATGCCGTGCTATATATAAAATGATAGGGTTGTGAAGGTTTTAAATTGATAAAGATGAATAAATGAATAACTATAATTGTCAGTTCTTCTTTCAAATGTTTAGTAGGTACTTGTAAAGGTACCTATTTGACATTGTGGGTCACCTACAATGCGATGCCTTGCAGCCTAAAAAATACTAGAGAAAAATCGACACGGCCATTAGGGCCACGGTAGCATAGTGGTCAGTGCATCCGCCCGGATATTCGTCTGCTGCCTGGTCCGTGTGGATTTTTTCTAGTAAAATATTCTTTAGAATTGAATATCCAGCAGTTAAATACTTAAAAAATATAGGTAACAATAATTTTAATTTAAGTCATTGCCCGGAACAAGAAATCTCATAAACATATTTTCATTTATGACGACCTCCGTGGCCGAGTGGTTTGTACGCCGGGTTTCATGGCGTCGCCGACTCGAGAGGTTCTGGGTTCGAATCCCGGTGGGGGCAGGTGTTTGTGTGATGAACACGAGCATTTGTACTCCAGTCATGGATGTTTAATATGTATTTCTATATAAATATACTTATATATGTAGTATATGTATTTTATCCGTTACCCTAGTATCCCATAACACAAGCCTTATAGTGCTTACTTTGAGACTAGGCTAATTGGTGTGTGTTGAAAATATTTATTATTATTTTTTTATTTTATTTCTTAGGAATCATCTATTGATATTAATTCTAATTTCTTTTGTGTACGGCGCATAAATATATTTATTATTAATAATATACTAAAACTTCATTGCATATTTTTAAGTGACTAATAAAAGTATTATTGCTCACTAGACTAGACTAAGATTCTACTAACTTAATCTATAGTAAAGACATTATACTTGATTAAACAGTAATTTGCTTTTACTCTATATAATTTTATGAAATTCATGTAAAATTCACAAATACAGTTTTTATTACTCCAATTTTCGTTTGATAATTAAAGATGCCGCACATTTGTCAATAGAGTATGTGCTGCAGAGCCCGTGATAAAAAACAGTCCCACAAAATAGCATTTTTTAAAATTGCATTTATTTAAGCATTTAAATACCTACATATTAAATAGATATAAGAATTAAATATTATCTAAAAAATACGGTTTCTAGTTATTTCATCAAGCTTAACTTTTCATAAACTTTAGAAACATTTAGAGTATTCAGATAAACCAACCTTTGATTCTATCCCTAGGTACAGATAATAGATATGGCTACTGGTCGTTGCTATTACATAAAAATAGAGAAATTAATTTAAGTCACTGAGCTCCAACGATAATCGGAATCTTTTGTATACGGGAGTGATTATAAGATATAGTATTTGTATACATAAGGCATATATTACAAGACATCACAAACATACCAGACAGTTAATGCTTATTCAATATGCGGAGATTAATAAGACTCACATGTGTAAAAAAATACCAAAGCCCTTAATATGTAAAAGAACGAAAATAAATTTGCGTAACCAAAGATGTTCCGAATTTGTATGGAGGATAGTATTCGGCCAACCCCTGAATGTTATATGAGATAAAAGAGTATATTTTTTAGAATATCATGGGACAAAAATTATAATATAGAATCCCCACATTTTAAGAAAAAAATGCATTGTATACCGGTGCAAAACATAGTTATCCGAAACTAAAATAAAAATGTGACACGCCAATGTCGTCGTCGTCTTAAACTTTCGGTCTCGGGTAGGGTTGAAATCGTATAGTAATTGGTGTACGGTGCGCGGGCGCAGGCGTCGTGTTGCGACCCTGTTCGTTATTTCCGATTAATTGCGCGGAACGGACACGTTCGTTCGATGCCCGCCGCCCGCCATCGTGGCAAGGCGCGGCGGTCAAACAAAACACGGCCCCTGACATGCCACCGACCAAATAACATTATTAGTCTACAGCGTTTTCGAATGTCCAATTCCAAATTCAAACATAAATTGTTGAGTAAATTGTTATGCTCTTGTTTCGTGGTGGGCAAGAAAGGATATTCTTTATATATTTTTTTTAATTTAGAAGTCGAAAAGTGGCTGTTTATGCTTTCTATGTCATTATTTTTATCTAGGGAAACCGTACTAATGTTGGCCCTCTCATAATGATTGCCCTCTTCCATTTACACTAAAATATAAAGAAATCAATAAATCACACGACATCATTTTATTATTCCACAATAAAGCCCCTAGATATATCCAAAATTGAGCGTTAATATATTTAAAGCTGCTATTAAATAATGACAAAAACTGACCAAGTGCGAGTCGGACTTGCGCACGAAGGGAAAATTCATCTGTGTGTTTTCGTCACAACTAACAAAGTACAATATGCATGGTCGTTTTCACTATTTGTTGTTTAAATACACATTCACATTTTCCACTAGTTTCGATTTTGAGAAAGACCCCGTAACAAAAATGGTCTAAAAATGTCAATTTTGACGACCCTCCATTTATTTGTTTTTGAAAAAAAAATTAAAAAATACTTATATCTTACTCATACCGCTCTAGATAATAATGTGTCACATGATGGGGTAAAACAGAAAAAAAAAATTTTGTCTCCTTTTCATGTATGGGACTTTCCATGAAAAATATTTTTATTGAATTTTTAACTAAATATTCGGCTGTAGGCAAGCATTCTATATAAAATACCAAAATTTCAGCTTTGTAACTCATTCCGTTTATGATCTAAAGACCCGTATCCTAAGGAGAGACAGACATACGACACAGTGACAGCAATAGGGTTCCATTTTTACCTTTTGGGTACGGAATCTGAAACTTTCTCTTTAATACAACCTATTATAAGTTGTCTGATTATTATTAGTTCAGACAACAATGTTTGGGTTTAAATTTTCAAGGTTTTTCTGTAATTATCATAAAGATGATATGATTTCGTATTGACACCGTTATAATGTAATATTTTGTAAATATTGTTACATTAATTATTTACCCCTGTGAAGTTTTTTCGGCCGTTTTTCTCCACAGCCAAAAAATGTCAAAAAAGAGATAAAATATGGATGATTCAAAAGTGTTGTTATATGCCTTAAATTAGAATAAAATATTCTTGACTTTTATTCTTCGATGGCTATTCTTTTATCTTCAGTATAAATATAAATTTTACAAATGGCATTATTTTTTAAAGACAAATTTGATTGTCCTCGAAAAGAAAGGCTCGTCAGTCGCCTACAACATTGATGGTGCTCCACGGCTGATGATAATAGGCAGTGTTACTGTATGGTATTACAAGTTACGATTATCGTAGCCTAACATTAAAATTCAACTTTTTGCTATATTTTTGTAGTAAACACAAAAAAACTATGCTCTCATATCAGAGTATGTATTCTGTAGATCATTTTTACCGCTTACGTAAGCTGTCATTTCTAGATTTTGTAATCGTTTTTCATATTTATTGTGATTTCACATTTATTTTCTAATTGAATATTATTAACATGTGTGATTGAATGAAAAATCGATAACTTGCGTGCATAATTTCAATCATGGCAGCATCAAATGCCGCGAACATGATTAACATTAAATCGTTTCATAGGTTTTGTAGATGAACTTAGAGATAAAGAGAGTTTTACATATACAGGCAGTGCTCGTTCTTACGACTAACTTACGGTTCTCGAAATACGCGACATAAATCGAAACGATGTAAGTGGAGACATAATTTTTCATATGTTTACATGTCAAATTCAAGGGTTGACCTCGCGACAAGTGAATTCTCCCATGCCAGAAATCGAAACAATTGACGTATGCTTGAGGAATAGTGTCAAAACATTGTTGGACGTAAGTCGAGAACTCCCTGTATCATCAATTAATTTTATATATAATAAATGACGTTGATTTTTATTTTCTATGTAGGTATATTACATTTATGACACGTATAGCAATTTTGGCACTCTTCCAAATCGAAAGGGATATGCAGAATACACCTAGTCCTCTATGAGTAAATTTGATGGCCTATAAACCAATGTTAAAGTATTAATATTTTTAACGTAACAAGTCTAATATTTTTAATACCAATGAAATTTTATACAACACTATTAAGTCTCTTAGTTGAAAAACAAGTTGTTTTATGATTCTGTATTATTGACGTGACAACGTCTTAAATTAGGTTGCGGCTGGGAGTCACGTATGAAAAAGTGTAACGCTCGGTAACGTTACGATGAGTCTCTCGTGTTAAGTTTAAGTTTACATGTACAATGTTTTAGTAAACAAAATATATTTCTATAGTTAAAATTTGTGCAATTCTTATTTTCATTCAATTCCTTGTTCCTATTGTGCAATTTAATTATATTCATACAATAAATATTCTACCGAGAAAAAGACGTTGTCACGTAAAATCTTCGCCCGTAAAACCGACTTTTTATTCGAGTAAGAACCTATTCAGTTTACGATATTGCGATTGTAATTGTGAGTGGATTCAGTGACTTTTTTATAATACCTAGTTATTAAGAAAATTTACGAGCTTGAACGATAGCTTGCTTGTAATGCTCTCAAAAACTCTGTCTGTGTCCAGTTATTGCAATAATTGCAATAAATTATTTATTGCTTATCGAAAAGTATTTTATAGTATCTTCGCTGTCTTTCAAGACAAAGAGTGGTAATAAGACTAAGTTTTTGCTGAAATCAAGTCATTTCTTATTATCGAAAAATAATCTTCGAAAAGTCAAGCAGTTTTCACATCTTTCAAATGATATTTTGTGATTCGGATGAGTAGAAACAAAACACGAAAAACATAATACAAGCCTTAAGACCCAAATTATACCTAGCGTGACGTCAATGACTATGGAATTATGTTTTATATTTTTAATTTTGGCACTCTGCAAAGTCTTAGAGGTATAAAATAGTATAACACTACCATAATATTGTAAGTATTATGTTTATAATACAGAAAGGTAGGAAAGTTTGTAGTCATTGAAAATGAAAATTTTAAGCGAATTATTGTTCTACGTCTTTAAAGTACTTCCTTTTTGTTTTGATATCCTTTTTAAGTTTTCATTTTATTTAGGGTGAATGTCCAATAACGAAAGCCAACCATTATAATCTTAAACAGACTTTCAAGTAAATATTTCACAGTTACTTTTGTCATAGGCTCGGTGTCCCGGCAGAGTTCGCCCGCGTCGCTCAGTTCGCCTGCGTCAAGCTGCCGCTCCCCCCCGCCGGAAGAAGATGTTGAAGTGGATGTGGAGCAGTGCTCCGACGGGGAGCGGGACGCGTCTGACAACGCGGCTCCATCGCCGGCTCCTTCTTCAGGTACTTACCTAGGCACTATTAGCCCGCGCCTAGCCCATGATCCCCCTCCTCGATGGAAGAAGATATGGGACAGTGCTCCGACGGCGAGCAGGACATGTCTGACAACGGGACTCTAGGTTAGGTTTGTAGGCAGAGTTCGCCGGCGTCCTACTGTTGCTTCCTGCGGGCTGAGGAAGACGTGTAGGTGGACCTAAAGTAGTGTTATGACGGCGAGTGGGACGCGTCTGACAACGCGGCTCCTTCGTCAGGTTCCTAGGCAGAGTTCGCCCGCGTCCAACTGTCGCTCCCCTCCGGTTGAGGAAAACGTGCAGATAGACGTGTAGTAGTTTTATGACGGTGAGCGGGACACGTCTGACAACGTGGCTTCATCGTAGACGCTTCCGTCAGGTACCTAGGCCGAATTTGCAGCATCGATCAGTTCGCCTGCGTCGCTCAGTTCACCCGTGTCGCTTAGTTCGTCCGCGTCCAGCTGCCGGTCCTCCCCACCAGTGGGAGACATGAGAGGTGGACGTGGAGCAATAATTCTTCGTCCATACAGCCTATTTTTGGGATTTCTTAAAAAAAAGCAACTTCAATATTTTGTTAAGTATTTTTCACTAAGTTTTAATTTGTGAAACTTAAAGTGAGGCTAGCAATAGCTACAATGTAATTCTAACCTTTACATGACTATTCTATTCAACGAATTATCCAGTTATATTAAGACGATAAACTAACTCATTGACATCACATAAAAACTAACCTAGAATCTATTTACTTTACTTTGTACCTTAATATTCGCAACAAATAAACGCAACGTACAAGGTTGAGCACATTATACGAATGTGAGGAGAGAATATAAGACATTAGAAAGTTAGTCACAGCAAGGGGGTTATTATATCTGACCACATAGAGTTACTACACATCATGGTCTTTAAATCCTAGATGGCGGGATAAGGAAAAAATAATTTGGAGTTTTCGTGATGTGCTTGTGGTGTCACTTGATGAGGTATTCTTTCCTAATAACTGTATATTATTTAACTGCCAGTTTTTTTGATCTCTTCATTTACATACTACACTATATTTGACTTTAAATGCCTCGAGCTTGGGTAATACTGCTCGGCTGGGAAGCTGTGCAGTGAAGTCTAATAAATTTGAAAGTGTTGCAGCTGCACATTAATAATATTATAATCAGAACTTAGAAATACTTAATGCAAGTTAATATTTGACCGATGATTCTGATCGATATCTGAAATGTAATCAAATGAATTGCTTTGGATTTGGGTGTGTTTAAATAGTAATTACATATTAGTGCCTACTTATTAATTTTACATTGTCATTATTTATTAAAACACAAAATTAAAGCATTTGACGACCTCCGTGGCCGAGTGGTTTATACGCCGGGTTTCATGGTGTCGCCTACTCGAGAGGTCCCGGGTTCAAATCCCGGTGGGGGCAGATGTTTGTGTGATGAATACGAGCATTTGTACTCCAGTCATGGATGTATAATATGTATTTCTATATAAATATTCTTATATATGTACAATATATGTATTCTATCCGTTACCCTAGTATCCCCTAACACAAGCCTTACAGTGCTTACTTTGGGGCTAGGCTAATTGGTGTGAGTGTTCGAAATATTTATTTATTTATTATTATTTATTTATTTATGCTAATTCATGCACAGAATAAATAAAACAAATGGTTCTAAATATAAAATAAAACGAATAAAACTGACAAATTTCACCCAGTTGCAAACTATGGGTATGATACTAATATTTTATTACCATACTTCATAAATAATAGAAAAAGGAAATGTTTTTTTTTAAATGTTGCCAGAATCAGAGCATCTGCGTGAAAAGTATTTGTATTATTATTTATTGTTGATCAGGTTACAGTTTATGAAGTGTTCCGTATTAATTATTTTCATTAGATATTATAACGTGTTCGTTTCTTCCGGCAAAAAGTAAATGAACTCTTGTTTAACAGCGCCTATTATCGATGTAATAAACAAACTTTCACATACAAATACAATTCAGTTCTCACAGTCTGATCGAGTTAATGAAAACGTTAGTACCAACTACAAGAGAAGTCGGTAAAGAAGCCAGCTGGCGCAAATGAGATCCCATTCTGTTGTTGTGTCGTTTTCTTTTTGTGATAGTAATTTACACACGTATAAGTTAATGATATGCTGACACGACAAGTGTGTTATAGTTAAAAAAAAATATATATAGTGACAGTGACGGTATCGGTATTGCAAATAATATTCGATTTGTTTGCTTAATACAATGATAAGCGGATACATGTTATTAAGATTTCCTTAGTGGATTATTTGAAATTAATACACTAGTGACCCCAGCTTTGCCGAAACAAATTTAGCCTTTGACACTCAGGCATTATGTAGCTTTCTAGTGGTATAAGAATTTTCAAAATATCTTCAGTTGTTTCAGATACTACTTACTATAATCAAATAAACTTTACCGATTTGTAATATCGGTATAGGTAAAAAAGCTGCCAAACTATTTATTTTTATTTTAAAAGGGTGGCAAGCAAGCATATGGCATGCCTGATGATAAGCGGCCGCCATAGCCTATAGACGCTTCATCATCATCATCAACAGCCTATCTTAGTCCACTGCTGGGCATAGGCCTCTCCAAATAATAATAATCATAACCATTTATTTCAGGCGTAATACCCACATTACAAACGGAAATAGAAAAGAAAATGATAATCAAATTAAATAATTATAATCACAATAATAATAAAAAAAATATAAATTTCAAATAAACGATAGCGCCAATTCGAGTAAAACTGACGACGTTTCATTTGTTTAAGTGAATTTTCAGCAATTCACTAACTGCGAATAGAACTTCGGGTGTTTGAAATAGACCACGCCAACATTACGGCACGCTCGCCTCTCTATTACACAGGTTGTCAGATAAAATGTAAATAAGGCTGATGAATTGTATAACGGAAATGGCTTCTCAAGCGATCGACTCGAGATCAACGCTGACAGCGGAGCGGCTGCCGAAAAAAAGTTAATGGAGAAGCGGTCACTAAAAACACTTAAGCAATTGATCGAGCAGACCGCTTACTATCCTCGTGTGGTGTGTAACTAGTCTTATAATATTTGTCTTGAGTTGTTTCCGATTCCATGTTATTATCTTTTTGGAGTTTGAGCACGTCCGCATGTTATAGTTTTAAGCGTCATTGCAATAATTTATTAGGTACTAGTGGCCGCCTGCGACTTCTTCCGCGTTAACTTTGGTTTTTTGAGGATCCCCAGGTACCTATTTTTTTCTGGAATATAAAGTAATCCATGTCTCAACCCAGGTCATAAAATATATGCGTACCGAATTTCATCCAAATCCGTTTAGTAGTTTTTGTGTGATTGAGTAACAAACAGACAAACATTTAAACTTTCACATTTATATTTTTTTGTGGATGTGCATGATTCGAATTCAATGTTGGTACTGTGCAGGCAAGGTAGAGTTTTGAATGTCCCAATTAGTTTTATAAATATGTGGACATAGAATAGATAGAGGCATCAAAGAGTTGGTATATGCAACGTCGTATCTACGCCATTACTTCAATAAATGAATATTTAAAAGTTTGACTCTTGAATCTTCATAACGTAGCTCTTTTTTCATTAGAACCGACTCCGTTTGTTCTTTTGCAGATTTATTATGACTTATTATTTAATGAATAACTTTTCCGACTCAAATTTCCTCTCTTTTATTCACTCCACACCACAGCTCCACACACAAAAAAATTCAAAAATTGTTCTTCAAATAAAGGATTCTTGCATGACACGACATTTATGACATTTTTGAATGACGTCTAAAAAGGGCTGCCAGATCAACATTTTCTGGTGTGATCAGATTATTTACTCTACAGAGTTATCGTGGTTCGTCTCTCGGTACTATCCAGTGTAAATTTATATTTTTTTGGAAGTTCCTACTTACATTACGACTTATAGACGAAAATATCCTTCTAGTGGCTATTGTGTAATCTTGCAAATTCAAAACAAATGTAAGTGAGGATACTCCATCACAACCAGTGTTTAAGACTCGTGTAGAAACTACTAGTAATCTGTCAGCTACGTAACTAAACTTTCTAAGTAACTGGTCAAAACACAAAAAAAAGCCAAGGTGTTGTATAAAATGTATCTTTATACAGAGCTAGGCGAGCGAGACACGCCGTCGCCGGCGCGACCTTTGCCCCCCACAACGTCGTGCAACTGTGAGGAGCTGTTGTCTGTGGACTGTCAGCTGGAGACGAAGGAGCTCTGGGATAAGTTCCATGACCTTGGCACGGAAATGATCATCACTAAAACTGGCAGGTTAGTGTTAACATTTATAATTAAAAAAGAAACGTAAGATTTTTTCCATTAGAATCCATTTGATCGCTCTCTTTATGCTTGATTCTTCATACTTTTAAGCTTCTTGCTCTATATCCCTTGATAGGTATTGCAAATGCAAAATTATTAGAAAATACTAAAGTAAACTTTCTCAGTATCAGTACGAATACTTATTTAATATTTAACGTGGCATTTGACAAGCTTTAAAACGTACAAATTTTCTTTTACAAACCAACATTTCATTCCGAACTTTCAGTTAGAAAGCTTCTGACGAAAATGAATGAAACAATTTTCATAATATTAATAACAGTAATTGCTCGACTCATCAACATAATGCAATCTTTCACTCCACCGAAATTGGAGTCAAAAACAAATTAATTCACTCTACAATAGCTCCAACGAAGGGTTCAGCGGAATGGATTCATCAGCCAAAGTGGCCAATTTCGGAATAATTACTTCGCGAACCGAGTCGTCCTTCAACCCTTTAACGAGATAAATTAAAAGTACATTTTTTTCTAACAGTCAGCTTACGCTGGGCTATAAATCCTCGGGCCCTAAAGACAACAAACAGTGCGGTGGGGTGGGAAGATGTGTTTTGAACTGGAGCCTGGTTTATCTAAATAATTGTGTAGACGCTACGCTGGCGGAGAGCGGAAAATTGGGATGGCGCTGCGAGTCCCCAACGTTCCGGGCCGCAATCTTTGCCATTTGACACGAATAAGCTAATGCTCTAGGGTAAACGTGTTTTTCGGATTTTTAAGTAAAACATAAGTTTTTTTGGTCTTAAAAATTAACGAGGCGTATGTTTTTTTATAAAATAAAATAAAATAATTTTAGATGGTAATTTAAGAAACAATCAATCATAGTTTGATGGAGATCCATTAACTAACTTAAACTAAACTAAATTGACAACATCGAATAATTATAATATTATAATAAGAATTATTGACATTAATATAGGTAATTGAATAGAAAAAATTGCATGTTATCTTCTTATGACTAAATAGGTTAAGATACAATTTAAATGAAATGTAACACCATTATTTGTACCCTATTTAATGCAAATAAATTGAATTGAATTAAAAATGGCCCTATTCTTTTCAATTTGTATGTTTATATATAAAAAAAATCCGAAAATCCACCAGTAAATCCAGAAATCTTGAAGAAGAATTGAACCTTTAGAGATAATTAAATAGTAAAAAATAACAAGAAAGGAGAAGTAAAATACTAGGTATTTATTCTAAATGGAACATCTCTTCAATCATATTGAGTTGTTATGACAAATAGGGTTGTCGGAACAAGTGCATAGAATGAGTGTAATCTGTGTATTAGGCCCGTGTCATATGTTGCGTGAAGGGAGGGCCCTCCTCGAGTGTAGTTAGCCTAAATCACTGTATTCTCCCGGAGAGGTTTCGCATCCCTAGGGAGAGGTTTGCTATTGTTCCGCTGCGTGTACCGTGACCGCCGATCTTAATACTTATAAAAAAAAGAAACAAAACAACGACCAATAATTACACGATCATAACTGAATTAATCAGCGGGCAGTTCAATTTTATAGTAATAACATTCGAATAAACACCAACTGTAAATGAGATATGATAGATAACACAATGTATTCCATTCCGAACTTGCTCATAATATAAATTGTATTCCAAAGGGAACCTCTCATTTGCATAATTTAACTTTTTATGTCTCAGACCATCGATAAAAGAGCTGTTCGGTTTTAATAAAAAAAAAGTATCAAAGACATGTAATCTTCTCATTCACATCTAAACAAGAGATAAATCAACCCGTCCAATCAAAATGGGATATCGGGGACAAATTTTGTCAGGGGAGGGTGACGGAGCATGTTTTTAAATTGCTTTACAATGCATTGTCTATTAATTTCGGATTCACTGTTTAATTTGTGTATCTACACAAATAAATAGTACAGTCAAGTTAAAATCTCCAGATTTCACAAACAAATATTAGCTAATACAAATAAAATTGTATATTTTACTCATATTTACGACAAACTAATATAAAAATATAAAGTGGCCCCTTATCTCCGGACATCCCGTAATATGCTTTATCTTTTTTTATTGCCATGTGCAATCCGTTCCTTTCCCCGATGGCACAGTTGGCTACTGTTCAATTATTTTATCGATGGCATTCCATGTTCTAAGTAAGCGTACCAAAATCACATTTTCTAGCTATTTGCCACTATTAAAAAGTGATTCATATCCAAGTGATTTCTACAAATCAACAAACTTGTGTTGTGAATAAAAATACAAATGAACGTTTTTTTGTTAACTTCATTACTATAAGTGACCTATTTAAAATTATACTGAAAATTACCATAAGTATTGCTAATGATATTTCGCAATAAAGTAATGCTCTACATTTATTTGACCTGTTTTTACCGAAAAAACAATTAGGAAATTCCAGTCATTGTCTTGCAGTTCCAGTTTATGTTGCAGTTTACACGGTGTGATTGATCGTGTCCGTCGATATCTTTCATCGTGACTGTCACATCACTAGCGTTGCGTGGCCCGCGAGAAATGTCGGCTTGTCTCGCTTTGTTTATTTTTCTTCATTTTTTCGATTCGTCGTTTTGATTTACAAGCGGCCACTTTACTGCCGAGTGGACTTTGTTATGGAACTAACTGGAGGTAGATTTATGTACCTACGGTCTCAGTCAGGACAGCCAGTTTTTTCAAAATATTTGTTAAGTCATAACACTGATTCGAATTATGACGAACAACATTATTGGCGTGCCGCAGGCTGCGGTCAGTTTTATTGCGGACGCTAATTTGGAGTGCTAATCCAATTTATTTTTAACTGATTCCACGAAAAGGGAAGCTGCCAAATATTGATAACAATACGTGGTGGTAAAGCATTAATGGTGAGATGAATTAGCCGTTACACGTTTATGAAAACGACGAAACTATTTTTGTCGATGTGATGATTTTTTAAATTCATATTTTAGGCTGAATTGCATTAGAATTTAAACAAATACATTAACCCTATCCTATCATACTAAGATTAGAAAATTGTAAGTTCGGTTGACTCACGCACACTTACACGTTAGTTACTTAATCACGCGATTAAACGTATAAATGGATTTGATGAGGCAAACATTGTCATTTTAAACATTTTAGGTTCTTTTAGGGTTATATGTATTTCTTTTATCTCGTCACTAGAGGTTCCTTAGAAACCATTTTATACGAAAATACACTTAAAATACATTAACAATACAGCATAAAACCTCATCGAAAAAAAATGTGCCTTTAATGTAGACAATAATAAGGTCAAGTATACAATAAATTGCTACGGCTAACTCCAATGTTTTAGGTTTTATTTGTATTTGAAAAGTAATTATTTCTTAATATATCATATTTAGTATGTATTTTTGTTCACAACTTCCTATTTAATATGGTATGTTGACCTTTAGCACCTGGCCACCCTTTGATCGCCTCCTCCGCTCCTTCCTTTTGTGAATTCTCCAAAGGTGTTGACCGTTGAAAAAAAATATCAAATAATTTATGGCATTTAACAAACAATATTTAGTGCCGTTTTGACTGTTATTGTAGTCAATGATTACCGTCGATTATCGAGGTTATTATGCAGTTTTTGCCGGTGCTGGGCGGACCAACAACAGGTGCCTTTATATTAAACCAGCAATAAAACTGTGTAGTATTTTACAGGATTAATGTTTCCCTTTATGAAATTGTAACGTTTCGAGTTTTGTGCGTGATAACTTGAAATGAGCTTTGTGCAATTATGTTAACGTATAAGATCTCATGTATTTATTAATAATGTTATTTAATATCATGAAGTCTTTTTAAGTATTAATAGTCATTATGGTAATTAATAATATTTTTACTTCCAGTTCTTAGTAGTCATAATATAATTGTTCTGTTTCCTTTATATAGTTAAAAGATTGTTGGTGGAATCAAAATACTTTGTGGAATGGATGAGAAAAACTGATGAAATACGGAATAGATGACTTCACACATTGTGATATTTTATATGTCTCGCTAACAAGTTAGGCATAGACCAGAATGTAGTTTTTCAGCTTTAGTGATAAAGTAGAAGAAGCTGTATAACCCTAGGTGCGTCACCCACAAAACTGCATAGCATTAAGTCTGTTCATTGTGATTAGGCATTAATCATTAAGAAGAGCAGCGATTTAGGTAAAACTTAAAACTGTGAACATTTGTAATGAATTGTGAATACACTTTTACCTTTCTAAAGTATAAACGCCGTGTTCATTTTAAGATTAAAAGTATTTCAATCATTAGTAATTGAAACATTCGAATTGTGTTTTAAATTGCGAGAGATTGATTGAGGTCATATTTTGGCGAACATAACGCAGGAGCGGTAAAACGGTGTAAAGTCAGCTTTCGGCTTAGCTCTATAATCGGTATAATAAATCGAATATACGAAGGGAGGTCCGACATGTGCATTAACTTTAACTGTATATTTTGTGGGTACGAGTTATTTTTTTTTGCGTAAATGCACCTTTCAAATTGACGTGTCCGCCCGCAACTCCTGCGCATTGCCGAATCATTCGGTAAAGAGTTCAACGCGCGCTCTTGATTTAAGCAAGATTATAAGATCATAATTTTTATTATTTTTAAAGCATGTAACTGCTTGATAAGATTATAGATTATAAGATATTATAAATCACCCTTGGATAAATAAGGGGTATCTGTACCGACATAACATATATGTATTTTTTCTAAGTACTTATCTGCTTGATTTTTTATTTGTAAACATAATCATCTAGGGATAGCAATGGCTCTTGGTTCTAGTTCAACCTGATATTCCAATTTCAACTTCTTCTATTGTGTAGGTAGCGTTTCATTTTGGTATTTAAAATATGTTTATTTACAAACTTTAACTGCACCGAACGACGTAAATCTCATTCAAATAAAAAAATTGAAACATGTTTTAATACTTACAAAACAAAACAAAAGAAAATAAAGAAGAAATTGAAA